GTGCTAAACAGTATTTAAGAATTATTCCTCGAGCCCGAATGGGTTCGGAGTCAATAGCCCATGAGGGCGAGAGGAATAATCCAACTAGTTGGTCAAAAATATCGCGACAAAACAATTTTAGCCAGTTAAAGCTAGACTTAAATCCTTTTTTGCCGCCAAAAAGCCGGCGCTTTTTCGCTACCAGTGGACTACCACTCATTCAATCATTTTCACTCGTTTAATATTCTCGCCAAATCAAAAATTTAATTATAAATATATAATTAAATTACATTGGTATTTCCTATGAGGTTTCAAATTTAAACGTGTATAGCTCGCCATCATTTTTGGATTTTGCATTTTTAAAATATCCCCTCTTATTGCAAAGTTTAGAAATAATCGAAATGCTAATTTTTAATTCAATTGATGCTTTAGTCAAACTATGGAGAATTTGTTTTTCTTTCGTTTCAATATTTTTTGAAATAATTGATTTATTATTGGATTTATGTTGATTTTCTTTTGGTGTAAGAAGTTGTAATTTTTTTATTTTATTATTTGTCTTACAATTATCTGTAATCCTTTTGGTATTAAACCATTAAAACACTCCCAGCAAATCGGTGAATGGAATAATTTTTTGGTTCAATTAATTTTTTATCATATATGTAAACTTGGCAATAACCACTTTTACAATTTATTCCTGGTTTCAATTCTCTTTTGGTTTTAATGTTGATCATTTCTCCTGATTTTGACGCTGCATAATTTTGAAACAAGGGATGGACATAGTATTTAGTTGTAATCTTTACGGTTTTCTTTGCGGGGCGTACAGTTTCCATATATACTAAATGATTGCAAATCTTAAGTCATAATTAATTTTGTTTTTCCGAAAACAAATTATATTAGTAATTAAATATGATTTGGCACGTATCATATGATTAAATGAGTGAATGATTGAATGAGTGATTTTGAAATAGAGTTTTTATAACTACTTCAGAACGCAGCATTGATAATAGACCACTAGTTGAATTTTACTGAAACAATATACCGTAAAATTCCAAAAGTAAGCCCCTCCAAATATAAGCCCCCCAAACTCGTGACGCAAAAAACCCCTCGTTAAATCGCCCCTCCTAAAATAAGCCCCCAGGGGCTTGTGCTTGGAATTTGCCCTCAAATACAAAATAAAACAAAGCAAAAACGGTACAGAAACAAAAATTTTTGTCATGAAAGATATTAATCATCGTGGATATGTGTATAAAGGGTTTATTTTTATCGCTTGTCTCACGATTGGCACTGACATTGATCGCGACGTTTCGACCGGACACTGCAGGTCTTCATCAGGCGACGGCGTCGATTTACTGAGTCGAACTATTTGTACCACCGTGGTTGTTAGTGACTGGTGATTTTGAGAGGTAGATTTCCCTCCAAGTTATTTAAGCCTAGTCCATTTTGAAACGCAATCTTCCCTCCGTATTTAAGCCCCTCCGAATATAAGCCTCTCGGAAAGGGCCTACGAAAAATATAAGCCCCAGGGCTTATTTTCGGAATTTTACGTCTTCACTAAAGGTGATGCCCCTATAGCGTTCTTCCTGGGTGATCGAGTGACGAAAGAATTCACTGACAACCGAATATTTACCCGAGTCACCGCTTTTTCCGATCTTTTCCGCTTCCTACTTAGAACAGAAAAACACTCCTGAGAGCTGCCAGTAGTACTATATAGATTAGTATAATAGTCAATGAACGATCTTCAGAGGTCTTCAGAAATAAGCAATCGCGCGATCTCTGTCAAGACAGTCGGCTCTAATAATCGTACTCACTTCTGAACGTTTTATACCGAATAATAATTTGATTCTAACAAGCTCTTGTCTTGTCATTGTCGGAATCTCTGCATGCCGGTGCCGGTTTGAACCTCTTCAATCTCTATCCTACTAACAGTGTTCTTAAAAATTACTTATGACGGAGTGTATTGTAGCTTTTAGTTGAAATGATAACTTGTAGACGGGTTGATTCGCTCGGTTAGCGGTTTCACGACGGAGTGCAAAGTAGAGATTACCGTCGCTTGATTTCTAAGTGCAAATACATTTTTATATCTTAAGTGATTGGTAAGTCAACCTTAATTAAGGACCTTTAAGTACATGTTTCAATGGAGTTTCATATTTAGTTTGATTCAATGGCGCATAAGTCTAGCTTGCGTCTTCACAAAAGACTCGACTAACAGCTGCGTTAAACAGAGTCGAAAGCAATCCGAGCAGAACGTCGGCGGACTACTGAGGACACGCTAAAAAAAATTATGATAAAAATGTTGTTACTCTATCTATCTTTTTACAATACCTTTGAAGTTTTCAGGTCACAGTCTGTCGGAAAGTTTCGGTACAAACTGAGATCGGATGATGCAACCTCAGTCACTTGGCGGCAAATAATACTGATATGACACTATAGCGTGTAGGCGGGCTTCAATAGCGCTTTGCCCTAATGAAGTCACAAATTTCTGGTCCCTGCTGTGACTTAGATATTGAACCTGACCAGTAAAAGAGTTTTCTATGGGAAAGTCACGTTCGCCAACATATTTCCGTCGTCTTGGAAGATTTTTATTGTTAAAAGGAACAAAATCCAGCTTGGTTTCGATAATATATATCTTGAAAATAATCAACGCGTACCAAGACAACGTTAAATATGGAAAAACTGTACAGATGAGTGATTTTATTTCTTATGCGGTGTCATTGCTGTGGGTAAGATTATGTTACGGCATTTTACTGAGAAATGTGTGGAGAGCACACTGACATGACACTGGCGTGTAGGCGGGGTTTCAGTTCTTAGAAAAACCGGAAGAAGAATATTCTCTCTTGGAGTAGCCAGTGGTCGGTATAATATAGAACGCCATAAGGAACCGATCGTTTATTACGTCCCAGGTAATGAACAAACAGAATGTGAGGGGGAGCGAAATATTAAGACACAGGACTGGCGTTCTATGTAAAAGTTGTCAAACTATATTATGATTAAAGCAAATCTAAGTTTCGTTGAAAAGAAGACAAAAAGTATATATTTTGGCGGTTCTTTGTCAGCAACAAAATGTTACCCATATAAGCTCGGCCCAGGAACGTATCAGCTATTTTTCCTACCAGCAATGTAGAATGCATCTACGCACATACGCCTATGCATACAGTCAAAACCTGGAAAAAAATATATAGATTTTTTTTTTATTTCCTGAAAGCATTTTTATCATTAAATCGGGATAAATATTTTGCATTATATTGGTGTTTTTGTGTTAGGATGTCGATTCCTTTATATCCTGATTAAGTGGAGTAAAATGGATCCGAATAGGAAGCCACAGACCTTGGTTGAGACTTGACCAAGCCAACTCCCATTCTATCCCGGAGCATATGTCACGGGCTCTCATAACTTTGTTGACTTATCGTGTGTCACTGATACACAGCTGAGCGTAGCTTCAGCAGTATGAAGAGACTGCAAACTCCTTTACGAAGGACCATGACAGAGGAGAGATTGAGCTCTCTTGCAATTCTGCATATGAGCCCAAGAACTTAATTGATATTGTTAGCATTATATTAAACAGAGTTTTGCCTGTCTGAAGGGTACATCCCTTTCCTTGTAACCTCCTTTATGGCGTCACACAGTTTTACCCTTTGTCGTAAACACTGTACCTTACCGATAATATTAGAAATGGGTAAAATAAACAACTAATTACTGCATTTTCCTTTGTCTTTATTTACTGAGAATGTCCTGCCTGCAGAAAAAGCAGGAGATGGCATTGCCGAGACCCTAAAGGAGCATGCCCCCAGACTTCCCCAGGTTTGGGGCGCCTTTGGCGCGCTAACGTTTCTTCCCCTGCGTTCACCTTGAAAATTTCACGCTACGCTGCTGACTACCGGTATCTTATAGCCTATGAAAGGAGGGTGCAATTTTCATACGTACGGGGGGAAGGGGGGTAATAGACGATCGGTCCCTAACTTTCTCCGGGAACTTTCTTTAAATTACTGGTCGCTGATTGGGTTTCATCGGCCTGCGTAACTATGGGGCTCCGTACTAGTGAAACAATTCGATTGTAAGTCGTCGATACGATTGAGTTTAAGGCCTAAAGCGTCTTAATGTCATTTTTATCTCTGAGTAGGCCTGGATACAAATATCACGAAAAATCGCCTAAGTATGTTTCCGGAAATTCCTGAATTTTTTTTTTTTATTATTCTCGAAATTTTTTTCTGAATATCTCGAAAAAGTTCTAAATATCTCAAAAACATGTGGCTTCATTTCATAAATATTACAGTAAAAGCACAAAAAAGCCTGTCGTCTAAAATGGTAACACAAGTCTCGGCAAATTTCAGGAAATTATGTTTTTGTATTATACTCTATACAACAAAACTCTAAACAATTTCACTTAAGGTCAACCTTATTTCAGTACCCAGCAGCCTCCAAGAAAATTAGGGCGCTGCACTTTAATAAAGGCAGAGTTCGTGAAAGACCTTTAAGTGCTGGAGGTCTAAAAGGAACACTACGTCATCAGCCATTTTTGTCGAACATTAGCCACATTACATATATTACAGATGGAGTATATTGCTAAATCCGATTCCAACAGGCTTATATGTGGAGATTGTTTGAATTTCCGTCACTGAAATGCCCATGCCCTGATTAGCATTGAAGTAGCTTCCTATTTTTCCCGTAATATCATGAGGTTTTCTAAATATCTCAAAATCTTCTAAATATCTTTAAAAATATCCGTATATTTGTATACAATGGATTTGCATGTGCTGGTGAATATTTCTTAGTGTTTCGTCTCGTTCGCCAATTTTTTCCGAAGTACACTTCTCCAATAAAAAATATCTTGGCAGTAACTTCTAAAAAATTCATTACCAGTATTTTGGTGAGTTTGCTTTGGCTTGGACCGCAAGAGATGTTTTTCGATCTTGGTGCTTGTGAGTCTGTCATTTCTACAAGCTTGGTTTAAGATTAGAATTGGGTTCTACACCCAAGGTAACAAATAAAGAAACAATTGAAGTATATGAATAGTATTTTTATCTGATGCACATAAACTGAGAGAAAGCCAGAAAGATCCTGCACTGTCACCTGGCGCATCATAGGAAATCACGACAAGTCAGTTACCGGGAGACAGTTGCCGGAAATAGAAAGTCAGACCCAGATTCCTAGTGGTAGATGTCCTGAGAAACTAGTTGGGAACACTCTTGAGCTAACAACGAGGCTTTTAGTTGAAAACTGTCAGTTCTTAGCAATGAACAATTTTTTGCTTTAATTAGGGCCTGCCTTATTTTATTCAATCGCCTAAGAGCTAAAACACAACTTCTCAAGAACTAAAAAATAACTGCTTCCTGCTTGACACCATTTCTGAGGACTATTCTTGTGTGGAAGTCTGGACATGACGCAAATACTGTGGATAAAAAAAGAAAAAAATGTCCATAACTACCACTTAACGAAAACCAGCGGTATCAGCAAAAATGAAGTGATATCGAATGCCAAGTTTTCCCTGACTAGTTATATCGATAAAAACCGATATCGGAAAACCGTTCGATAAATTGATAACTATCGATAATTCAAATTTAAACGTTATCGATTTTATCGTTTTCTGATTAAGGACCGTGTATTGTTGACACTTGTAAATGCAAAATACCGGTTCTTCCGAGACAGCGTTTAAAAAACAAGCTGTGTTTTTGCCGATGCGTTTAAGACCTTCTCGCTCGTTCATAGCCCGGAATTGTACGTCCACTATACTACCGTCGTACAATGTCTTAACGGTGTTTAACTTGAATAGTTTCTAAGTAAAGTGCAAGAAGAAGTTGTTACGTTTTGTTTCTCCGCTGAATCATGTTAAGTATAATACCGATTATGTTACGTATTTGTTCAATATTTGATTTGTGAAACTTATCCTACGAGAGTAATTTTTTTTAAGTCTGGTTTTCGGGAAGTTCAGATGCTACGCTGCCCTTAAATACGTGGAAACGTATTGCGCTGATAAATTTGATAAGTTCGATAATATCGATAACAATAGTTTAAAAATCGATAATTATCGATTACTCACAACGTTTTTCTTTATCGATTTTTATCGATTTCTGATACAATTAACTAATTTTTATCGATTTTATCAATTGTTATCGATTATCGGTTTTATCGATTGAACCAGTCAGGAGTTTTCTCAATAGAGTACCGAAGTGTGACGTCATAGAAAATGAAATTTGTGAAATTATGGGATTTGTTAAAATATTCTGAAAGAACAACGTCCAAGACGCCTACTCGCCAAAAATTAGCAATTCGGGGCAAATTGTCTCTGAGATATTAGCCCAGTTATGCTGTGACGATTCCATAAAAATCCTTCTAAATTTGGGCTCCTGGCTCGGTCGATTAGGAACCAGGTAAGATTTAGAAGGATTTGTATGGAGTCATCGGAGCATAACTGGGCTAATATCTCAGAGACAATTTGCCCCGAATTGCTAATTTTTGGCGAGTAGGCGTCTTGGACGTTGTTCTTTCAGAATATCTTAACAAAGCCCATAATTTCACAAATTTCATTTTTATGACGTCATCACTTCGGAACTCTATACGCCTGCGTCAAGTAAAGCCCTTATTATGCTGGAACATTATGGCCTCACGTAGCGCTGGCCAAAGGGATCGTTGACTGCAAAGCAGGCAGTAGGTTTTTGGTGTATTATTCTAAGTTTGTGGTTCGTAAAGAAAGAGACAAGGCCGCAAGAAAGCTAAACAGAGATAAACCGAGAAAACGGTGGGCGTTTTTCTCTCACCCGCTCCCCTATCGTTTTCTTGTTTGAATGGTTACTTCATTAAACACGAATGGAAAACACACCAATCCGCCTGCTTCGGATGATAGTGACTCCAGCAAAGGACTGCAGCATTAGTCCGGCCCCAGTGGGTTCCGCTTGGCTAAGACTCATCGGCAAGGCATGGCTGTCGTGTGGCGTGCGGGATGGCGTAACATGTGCCCTATATACTGGACGAAGCGCCAGGTCCACGCCTCACAAGATAGGGCCTAAAATCTCTCTTCTACGGAGACTTCCCCCCCCCCCCCACCCCCCGGTATCCCAATTAAAATAGCAATTTTTTTCCCTTCTCCACAGCCTCCCTACGGCACAAATAGGCCTCTCGGAGGAGGAGAGAGGGCTGTTGAAGGCCTAAATGTAATAAACGGTCCTAAATGTAATAAACTCTCAAGCTGCCAATTACAGTAATTACTCGAATAAGCCCCGCCCTCAAATAAGCGCCGCATTTGGGTCGGGGGGAGTTAATTAGCGCCGCGGCGCTTTTTCGAGTAAATACTGTACTAAGCGGTATTGCTATGGTATTAAGCTCCGCTCTCAAATAAGCGCCGCATTTTTGGAGAAAAAGTTAATAAGCGCCGCGGCGCTAATTCGCGTAAATTCTGTACATTTCCTTATGCACTATGAATATTAACGTTTACAAATAATTTGCTTGTAAACGGCAAAGTAACAGTATTTTTGTAAAAAAGCAATATTTAAGCAATAGAAAACTTTTTTTCCTGTGTTTGCATAGCCTGATGTAAACACTAGAACACTAGAGGGGTTGGGAGAATTCGAGACAGTTATGCAAACCCTCGACGTCGTCTCAGGTTTGCATAACTGTCATGATCGAATAAATAATAAAGTCCTAAATGTAATAACATTTGGCCCTAAATGTAATAAACTCTTAAGATGCCAATTACCGTATTTATGCGAATAAGCATCGCTCTAAAACAAGCGCAGTAATTGGTAAAGACGGTACATTACCAATTACCATATTTACACGCATAAGGGCCGCCCTCAAATAAGCACCACCATTGGGAGAAAAAAAGTAAATGAGCGTCGCGGCCCTTATTCGAGGAAAACAGTACTGATATATTTTCCTAATATGCAACGCTGAACTTCTCGTTTATGAATAAATTTCTTCAAAGCGACACATAACAGTTTCTTGTCTATTAAGTATACTTATACATTCATTCATTCATTTTATTAGTTAATCCATATTGTTTACAATTATGTAAAACATAACAAGTAACAAAAATGAACTATTGTACCTTTCCACAACGGGCACCTAGGGGACAGGAAGAAAGTGGCCCCGGAGAAAGTAGGGGAAAAATAGGAAAAAAGGAAAGGAAAGGAATAGCAACATTAACGAGCTCCACTGTAAGTCTCACTGTAAGAGAATCAAAAGAGCTGTTAATGCTTTTATACAGATATGATGTTGACCTTGTGTCGTTACATAAGTTTTTAAGGAAGCCCTACCTTCGTTTGCGTTTGTTGCTGTTGAAAAAAGATGACAACAGTGACAAGGCAGAAGAGGAAATAGAAGAAGAATTGAAGAGAACTTCTGAAATAAGAAGCCTTGCTATAAAGGAATCAACGGAATTGTTTTTGATGTTGGAATGCTTATTCGCAACAGGCTCCTGACTTAATAATTACATAGTTTTTAAGTTTCACAGTTCATAAGAAAATGTACAGAATTTACGCGAATTAGCGCCGCGGCGCTTATTAACTTTTTTCTCCAAAAATGCGGCGCTCATTTGAGAGCGGAGCTTAATACCATAACAATACCGCTTAGTACCGTATTTACTCGAATAAGCGCCGTGGCGCTAATTGACTCCCCAACGCCCCAAATGCGGCGCTTATTTGAGGGCGGGGCTTATTCGAGTAAGGACTTTATTACATTTAGGACCGTTTATTACATTTAGGCCTTCTACAAGGGCTGCCAACAAGGTGGTGAAACAGCAGGGGCACCCAACGACCAAATGTTTTCCAATACGACGGAAGTGTCTCAAATGGTTCTCTCTGTGCTTTAGAAGCCCGTTTGGTTAATTTGGAGTTGCCCTAAAAACTATTTATCTGTTCGGATGTCTCACGGGAACTTTGGTTGTCACGAAAGTCTTAGGTGGCTTTTTCGCTCATCCAAGAGTGTTAGCTACCCTAATGGGTCCGGTCGAAAGTTTGAGGTCCCACATGAAGTAGCCTTGCTTTCATTAGAAAATTATAGGCGACGTTTTGTCTTTATAGCGAAGCTTTTAGAAGACCTTTTTTAACAATAATCTTAATATCTCGGTATCAAAATGTGAATAACACAATCTCCGAAAATCGTAGTTAAGTTATTAGAAAACCTCCGAATTTTTTAGACGTGCGGAACCGTTATCCAGAAATTTTTAGCTTTCCTCACGCTTTAGAGATTTCTAGGCAATATTTGCTCCTTCGAACTGTTATTTTACAGAAAGGAGTCGCCGGGTGTCCCTTAAACAGGGTGAAATGCGGAGTCATTCCTGCTGACTGTTTATTTTTCTTCTCTCCCAAGCGATCAACAGCTGCCCCTCGAAAAAAGGCCATTTGGCTACCTGATAAAAATTAATTCATGTTTAATAGACTTCTTTAGATCGTGTGTGTACCCAATGCAGGGCATGTGATGTACTCGAGGGAATCCTCCCTTTGTCTTTCAATACATCATGAGGACATACGGACGCGAAGACGAAATTTGTAAGGAACATACCCCTAGAGTATTGGCACTAATCTGCTACAGAGCAGTTTTTAGAGTCGTCACGCACCGCTCCTCCCCTCTCTTTTGTGGGGAGGAGTGTTGCGTGACGACACTAAAAACGGGCACATGACCTACATTTCCCGCTATTCAGCGACAGAGTGAGACCTAGGTACGAGACAAGGTATAGCCAAAAGATAATCATCGATCACTTACTGGGTCCATAGTCTACTTGCGTCGCTTGGCAACCTGATCACTGTCCTCTGCTGCCTTCCTTTTCAATCCTTCTTCTAATAACTCCCCTGTTAAGACAGCAGCATGTAAAAAAATGGAAATCAACACAGTTTGACGAAGGTTTTATCCCACCCTTTTATCATTCTCTCGGCATGAGTTGACTTGACCACGGAAGTTTTCAATACCATCTATATTTAGAAAAGAGGATTACTAAACAAAAAAACTACACACTACATCTGCGGTAAGGCACTATATATCCCAACACGTAGATCGTGGAACGCGTACTTCACCTGAGGACTGTCACAGAGTGGAAATGGACAGTGGTGGATGAATTCAGTTTATCAGCTGATAAAATTTATTTTCAATGTCTATTAGCAGCTACCATAATGGACTGCTAAAAAAAATTACCGTCTGGGTCCTCTCTCTGTGATGTGCTAATAACGGACTGTTGGAACAATTTATCATTCATGGTTATCTCTGTCTGGGTTTGAGCATCTTTTGTCACTGCGCCTGCAATAAAGACGAATAACATGCAATAAACTGTCTCATGGAGAAGATCACAATGTCCTATTATCTGTAGACTTTTTGTTATTAGTATACGCAGTATTGTTTTTCTCCACACACAGTGACCCAGAGTAAAAAGGCAAACTTGTCTGTGCACGAGGGCTTCTTTATCACGTTGAGGTAACTAGGTACATTTCGAAACACTGTATCATGCACTTTGTACAAGGCTTAAATGCTTTCACCACCTTAAGGCGAGATCTTCCCTTCGTATTTGTGGTGAAAGCACTACTTTACATTGGAAGGTTATATTATTACACGTGCAGCACTTTTTTGCAATATTTGGTGTTTAGTAGCAAAATTGTAAATTGTATTTAGGACATCTAATAAAACACAATCAACAAATGAACGAATAAATAAAAGGAAGAAATAAATAAAGAAAACTGGACTGGCAATTTTCCAAGCGCGAGGTCGCTTTTGGCCTTACTTTGGCACTAAAATATAATTTTTTTTATCACTTACCTTCATAATGAGCCAAATGTTCGAAAGGAATGGGATCACTAAGAATGTGAGCAGTCAAAGAAGCGGCCATAATACTTGCAAACCGTCTCCAGGCATTTGTGGCAGAGTTCTTTCCATCTGCGAAGTCGGAGACGCCTTTAATAACAACCCATTCCATTAACAGGTCGCGCGACGCTGCATAGAGACCTAAAAAGGAAATTTTACTTCCGTAAGAACATTGCATGGAATTGTCCAGGGTGGATTTCCACCGTCGCGTAATTTTTCCGTGCGTACACACGTAAATTTTACGTGCGTAAATAAAATAGAGACAACGTATTTATACGTAAAAGTTGAAACTCTCTCAACTTCTACTTTTACGCGTAGTCTTTCATACATTGCCTCTACTTCATTTACGTACGTAAATTTGACGTACTTTCGCACTGAAAAATTACGCGACAGTGGAAATCAACCCTTTACAGTTATCAACCAAAGACGCCCAAGAATCCTTTTCATTAGTTAACTCAAATAAACAAGGCGAAACTGCAACTAGGATTTTTTGAACAATAACATTATGTATTGATATAATCGCAGTATTCTCTTTTGGCTCGAGAAATTAAATGCCGTGTGGAATTACTTTATATGCCTCCGGGGAAGTCAGGTTAAAAATCTTGTTTTTTGTTTATTTCCACCGCTTTTCTTCCACATCTAGCCAAAATTTCATTAAATCAAAAAATGGCTCAATACGGTCGAGTTTTTTGAGAATTTTTTTCGACAGTTTTTCCGAATGTTTTAAACGAATTGCTGTGGGAGATCTTATAAAGGGTAAAAATTTAGCCTCGAGCGACTAGTGATGAAAAGCAAGGGACCATGGAAAGGATACAGACGGCAGGCGAAGCACGTCTCGCCCGTTTTCTCTTTCCCGCCTTTCCTTGCGCGCACATTTTCATCGAGAGAGAGAGTCGTCTGGGTACGAGGCAGGTAAAAATGGGTAGACAATTTTAGTAGCAGGTAGTTCACCACAGAACAATTAAGGTGCCTCTGAGCTCATTAGCAGACCAAAAGGTTTATGCAGGAGCCCATCACCCTGATTTATGCGAATACCAGAAGTGCATTTGATGGACTCCTGGTGAATACCTACTCTTACTTCTTCTTACAATCTCAATTGAACCCTAGTCCGCCTTAACCCCCCGCCCAACCTCCCCAAACTGAATGAACAACAACAACCAAACTGCCAAGGCCCTGCCAGGGTTAGCCGGCTAAAACATCCGTTTCTCCTCGCTCTTCGCCGCTGGGGACGTTTTCTGCGAAGGAACGTCTGGGACTCAATTGTCAACAAATTCACTGTTTGCATGAAATCAGTTTTCATTATTGGTTGAACAGAAGATGGATATATAAATCGATGAAATTGGTAAAATCTAGATAAATCGATAAACGAATCTAGAGTATCATCGATTACTACCGACTAATCGATACAATCGATATCAATCAAATCAGATATACCGATTTTTATCGATTTATCGATTGAAAAATCGATGCCGATTTTTTCGCGATTAACTACTCCGGGCTTTAGACATTGATTTCACCCTCTGTTCAACTACTTTAATCTTACCCTCTCCCCCCACTTCAATAGCGGTGGCATAAGGAAATCGCCTGATAAGATCTGCACGTCGATCTTCATTGTCAATCACGTCTTCAACTCAGCTTGCTGCTTTTGCTGAAACCTTTCAGTGCTATGGCTTTCCATTGTTACTTTTAATGATACAAATCCTCCTCGAAGATCGAAGACAGTTAGTTGTTAAGTCAACGAATCTGATGTAAACACGAATCCGACCCTGGCTTGCCTTTAAGGTAGGCTGACCAACTTTAAAAATAGCAAAATTTGACCCCGGCTGAGAAGGGTACCCGGTCTGGCAGACTGAGGAACATGCAAACGTGGATAGGCGGGATACACCACCTAACCTAACTGGGGTCCCCCACCTCCATGTTATTAGTCTCTAACATTTGTTTGGTGCTCGGTTGCTTTGATCATGCGATACCTTTTATTACAACATGACAGATTCTACTACTTAAGCTTCAAATGAACGGAAAAGTTTTATATCCCGGAATACCAGAACACCCCGGAACACTTCGGGACAACCCTTGGACAACCCTGCTGGCAATAAAAAACTCAAGAAGACAAGCAGAAATACTAACCCTAATCTGTAAAACCTTTTAACGATCTTTCTGTTTCTTAAAACAACTATTTTGACTTCGGCTGCGTTTACACCACATGAGATTATTCCGGATGTTTTTTTAGGGTAATCAGATTCACAGGAGTTCACAGTGGTGGATCCAGGGAAGGGGTCCGTGGACCCGGCCCCCCTTATTTTTAGACCAAACTCTGAGGCCTGAAGGGTCAAAAAAATGTTTTTTGAGACCGGCCCTCCTCGTCCCCTTATCTCAGGGTTTGGAGTGACCGGGCCCCCCACTTATCTGAAGGTTTGGATCCGCTACTGGTTTACGTACATCAGTAAATTCGAGAATATTCGTTCGGACATTTAGATTCCGAATTCAAAATCTCTGGACACGCGACCGAAAGGGGACGTTCTTATTCCAAATTCACGTATCTATAAGTGTGCAAAATGTTCCGGACTAGTCATGAATACGGTGAAATCTATTCTGGTGTAAAAAATTTAGCCTTATTTTTTGGAATTTCCGAGGTGTTCCTTCTTCCCGGTTTTTGTCGCGTAATCACTAAATAACAAAATCGAGGAAATGATATAAGGACCAACACTCAATCTAATTAAATTTAAGAAGATAAAAACTCAAATTAATGAGGTACAAATATTTTCCTGTGACAAGGCAAAACAATTCAAGTTACTATTATAACAACTACCTCGCCTAGAATAAGACCTACTAGCGAAAATTTAATTTGCAAAATTAATGACTAGAATAGCCAAAAAAGCTGTCTCGAGCGGAATCATAACTGAATTAAGTTTGTAACGGGCAAGCCAACAAGATCATTGTGGCTCAACATTTGATTCGAGTTTGAGGCTGACGTAAACAAATTAGATAAATCTCTAAATAATATTTTGGGAAATTTATAAAAGCTTCTCAGACAGTATCCTAGCGCTCTAGATTGAGTTGAAATAATTTACTGATTTCCCGAGTCTGCTTTTTGGGTTCAGAATAACGTTAACTGCACGCACAAAAAATCACTCCTCAGAGCTGCCAATAGTGCTATATAGCTCAGTATAATAATTGTCAATGAACGATTTTCAGAAATAGCCGATCGCGTGACCCATGCTGAGACACGCGGCTCTAACAATTAACTTATATACTCGACAATTCTACCAAAGCAGGCTGAATAAAAATTCGAATCTAACAAGCTCTCGTTTCATCATTTTCAGAATCTTTGTATGATTTAAACCTCTTGGATCTCTGGTCTACAAAGGGTTTGCTTCCAAATTTTATACATGACTGAGTGTATTCGGTTCAGGTGAGGGTCACCACGGAAGACGGATACGAACACATCTTTACAGCGTCGCCTACTTTCAAATGTAGAAGCAAATACTATCTTGTTTCTTAAATAATTAAGTCGGCCTTAAGGATCCTTTCGTACAAATTTAAAAAACGGTTCACATTTGGTCTGATCCATTAGCTAACAAGAAGCTCAATATAGAAAAATGAAGAGATTGAAGTCGTCGACTCGACTGCCGGACTGATAAACTATGGTCGGTCAGAGTCGAAGGCAACCAGAGCAAAACCTCGGCAAACTAGGCAATTACACACTCACTGACAAGATTTATGACAGATATGTTGTTACTCTATAAATCTTTATACAATACCTTGGAAGGAGACAGGTCCGTCTGTCAAAAAGCTTCGTTACTACACTAAAGATAACTCAGAATTCGGCGCGGGTAAAAGGAGGAATGAGTTTGTGGAATGGCATGTGGCGTGGCTTACGGAATGACATAATTATGTGGAATGTATTATAAATGCCGAATGACCGCAAAGAAATAATTTAAACTGAAAAGTGCGCCTTTTTTTGGCGCCAATCAATTTGCAAACGCAGCCGTTGTTTTAATCAGTAATGTTGCACGATGACAATCAAAAAGCCACGAAGGCTCATTGTCGATTAGCATTTTCCGCACAGCTTCAAAGCTTCTTCTTGCCTTTATTAGTCGGGCTGCATGGCAGCACCGATATTACAGCACGCAAGTCGGCCATTGAAGAAAAGATGTTTTGGAAGGTCACGCTCCCTTCTACTTTAATTTTTTCTGCAAAAGATGTTCGCACGATTAATTCTTAGAAAAACCGGAAGACTACCGGTGTTAGGCGAAGATATGTGTGGATGATCAACATAAAAATCAAGTTAAGTCTGCACTGAATAAGAGGCTGAAAATGTTCATTTGGGTGATTGAGTAAATACCCTACAAATAAGAGCCAGTAATGTTCACGGAATCGACAGCAATGTAATACTACTTGACCTAGCCAATTTTCTAACAGCACATCTTCCTCAGTATTTATTGGCTGCGGCCGCACTTAAGGACTTAACCGAGTTATTTCCAATAGACTAATTTAAGTTAACTCGATTAAAAAAACTGTGAGTGCCGCCGGGGTTTCTACAGTCTTAACCGACTTCTAACCGGGTTGTGCAAATCAAGCAAGAACAATAGATTTTCTAGTCTTAACCAGGTTAGGTTTTGTTAAACCACCTCGCGAGGTAGTTTAACGCTACCCTGTTAGCAGGGTCGCTTCGATCTTTCCTAGATAAGTCGGGAATAATCACCACCACAATAGCTTTAAAATGGGATTGACGATTTTAATTCTTTTCTAACCTTAACAAATGTGATTAGCTTTTTTCACATATTAAGTACTTTACTAGAATATAACCATTCCAAAACCATACAAATTCACTATAATACTCAAGCTAGTTTTTAAACTTAGAAAAAAATCCTAGCTACCGTGAACACATAATTATGAATCACAATGCTAGTAACACAAATTAGGTTGCAATGAAATGTACTCAGACGCCATACTAGAAATTGGTATAGGGGAATCTTTGCTGACGTCATTGTTAACATTTTTCCTCATTAGCATACGACTTAACTCATAGAAGCCGTGGCCGTATATATGAACTAAATGCAAAAGTTGAAAGAGCTGATTAAGCTGAGCAATTTGTGCAATTTTCAGCTCTTTGCAAGCAATATTGATGGAAATATCAGCCATCAAAAACTGCGAAATTGTTGGGTGGCAAAAAAGTTAAGATGAGCCATACATCCTATGTAAAATTTGGAGTTTTTAGAAGAGTATTTCTTCGAAACCATTCGGTGTATTGGGTTCAAATTTTCAGAGATAACTCAAACTGTTATGCCCTTTCAATAATCAGAGTTTTTATTTTATTAGCGTCATCAGATAGTGATAAGCATATGTTAATGTTCAAAAAGTGTAAACAAAGATTCCCTTATTGGCATAACGTAGACCATAGTCACAACTAATTGTTTCGTATATTCGCATTCCCTGTGAGAACTATCAATGACCTGTAATGATGCTATGCTTTACAGGTACCTGGGGAGCTATAAAGCAACAAAAAACGTTGTTTTGTTAACATAACCTGATATAAACACGATATGGTGTTGGGAGAATTCGAAAGAGTTATGCACACTCATTTTACATACCTTTCGAGAATTCTCACCGCTCGATTGTTTATATCAGGCTAAGCAAGATTCCATGTTACTGTGCGCCTTTTAAATAACAGATCGCAGATGACGTCAAAATGAGGCAAGACCATTACCAACACACTCGCCTACGGCTTGTGTGCCATTATTTTCCCTTACACTACATGATCAATTACGTTTGTTAACTAGAACACGCTGTGCAACCATGCAATTAAAAAACACACACGTATCAGGCCCTTCCGATTTGACTTTACTTGCTAACAAATTAAACATTGAACATTTTAAAACATTGCTCCCTTTTTCTTCGAGCCACTTTATACTGCTGAAACAAATTTAATGGGCAGGTATAGGTTATCTAATCTGAATTTACGCTTATTCAAAAAGAAAGACCAAAAATGTGTCTGCTTAATTTTTTTCACAAAACCATTTCTAAACTATTTCATAGCCACATCGGCCTGCGAATACAGCCGTCTCTCTGGCGAAACGTCCGCCTAGCGGTGAACAGCGAAGAGAGGCGGCTGTATTTGCAAGCTAGTCAAAAACAGACCAATGCATATTATAGTTTTTGTCAAACTTAACTTGCACAAAGGGGGGATGGGGGAGCTTTCAACGGCTATCGTAAGGTACGAAAGAAGAAACCATTTCTCCTTATTTGGGGTGCCAGAGCATGCATTCCTCTTACTTCTTGACCGACGTAGCTTCCTCAGGCACGTAACCAATTTATGCATGTTTCAGTTACTCAATCCACGAACACCTATGAAACGATCAATAGTGATACATTAGATGTGAACGAAATAAGTCTACCCTTACTTGCTGAAGCACGAACCCCAACAACTGTCCTAATCAAAGGCACCACTTTAACACCTGCCACTGTAGCAAATATCACCTTTAATATACATCAAGCTTGCGTTCACCATTTCTACCTATATGGGGAGGCTCCGTCCAAAATGGGTACCTTTTTCAGGCTTCAAGTACATGAAAAGGTAAGAATTTCACAAGTTGAAGCGCCGTATTTCCTCGAATAAGAGCCCGGCGCTTATTCGAAGAGAGGCGGTTAATACGTTCTCCCGCTTAAAGCGTACCAGAAAATGGTCTAGTTATTCCTGGGAGGTTAAGGCATTTAGTAAGAGCGACGCAATAAGAATAAGACCAACATTAAAAGAAGAGATAAGGCACAAAAAGGAACTCTGTAATTACACATGGATATACTAGAAAAGACTGGAGGTGACTTGGGAAGGTTCCGCTCTAGTCGAAGCCTAAAAATTTGAAAATAATGTGGCAATAGGAACTGGTTTTCCTTAAAACCCCACTATTTAAAAAAGTGAGAGGGAGAGCAGAGGGGCGCTTATTCTTGAGGGGTGGGGGGGAGCGCTAATTTGATAGTTTGGCTTAGGGGCGGGCGCTTATTCGGTAACCTGTGAATATGCTACCTGTTTGGGGGAAGGGCCGTGAAAAGATCGCAAGGAGAGGGAAGGGAATCTCCTCGTGATTTTTTCACCCTTTCCTCAAACAGAGAGCATGTTCATAGGCTATTATTCGGGGGAAGGCGCTCATTAGAGTGTGGCTGCTTATTCGAGAAAATTACGGTATATGAAAGGGTACGGAAATCTGTCATTTGGCTCTGTAAAAAGGCCCAAAAGGGCTAACAGATGCAAACGAAAGGGGTACCTTTTCAGGCAGGGCAGAGCCTCCTCGTATATTACTGTTGAGTAACCCCCATTTCTGTGTTTTTCCAAATAATATGGCTAGCCGAAGTAACTTGAAATATCTAAACCTTGCAATTGACAAGTGGGAGACTTACTATACGTACAGTCAAACCTCGTTGATAAGGACACTGAGGGGAAAAATGTAAGGGATTACTTTTCCCAGAGACATAGACAACTGTCGATAATAACGAGGTTTCCGTATTAAGCGGGTGTCCATAAGGCAAGGTTCCAGTGTACAGATCACCACGACGGAGAAATCTGTCTAGCGATACTCACGCTGAAGTCACCTATTGATATTAATGTGCCAGCCAGAAGCGCACTGGGTTCTTGAAACACCAGAAATTATTTTGTTTCACTGGTTACAACTTTGAATAACAAAAGCAATGTTTATAAACAGTAAGAGCCGCTATAAGTGGATACCTGAACTGCACTAGGGCTTACCATACACCTCGTGTGTTCATAATAGTATAAGGCAAATCCGTTGTTTTTCAGTTGCCGTAAATGATCTGATTGACGTGCGGGGCATGTATTTAATTTAAGGGTTCCAAGCGTTGGCGTTTAAAAGAGAGGTGCGTTTATAGGCTCGTAACTGTATAACGAACTAGACACTGATACGATATGCTTTCGACGAAAATTCAGTTCGGTCCGTCTTTCGACAATCGTTATCATTGCTAAGCGCTTTTAATATGCAGGAACGAAATTGCTGACACACTGAGCACAGTGATCAATAAGATCAAAGAGCAAAAGAACAACTTGACATTGAGCAAGATGCAATGCGCAAACTAATAATCAAGCAAGGAAGTATTTTGCCATTTCCTTGTATTTTGGAGTAAAAATTCAAGGGGGAGGGGGCGACTATTAGACAGGGGACGTTTATTAGAGAGGGGCGCCTAATACGAACTTGACAGCGTAGGAGTGGCGTTTATTAAATAGGACTGAGGAAGCGTTTATTTGAGAGTGGCGTCTATTTGATCATTTACGGTATATATTTTTTTTTTGGACACCATCTCTCACCTTAAGAAGCAATCTTCGTCATAAAGCAGTGTTTATTAGCCAGATCTCTGTGCTCCACAGCTGGATGCCGTAGTGCCAGAGCCAACAGTTCATATGTTGCTGCAGATCCCCTCTGCTCTCTCCACGTTTTTAACACAGCTGCGGCGATAAAATGTGTTCTAGGTTCACTCAGGAGGTCCTGGTCTACTCAAAAATATATGAAAGACTAGGGGATTTGTTAAAGGAAAACCTGAAGGTTTTTGTTTTTATTTTCCACTTTGCTCTCCTCCTCCTCCTCCTCATCATCATCATCATCATCATCAACATTTTCAGTGATCACTAATCATCATCATCATCATCATCATTTATTTGGTTTAATGACGGCTTCTTGACATTAACCTACTCACTAATTTATCTCTTGCAATCTTCTTTTCTACACAGACCAAAGCCAAGCATTGGCTTTGGTCTGTGAGCTTATTAAGGCTTTACTTCAGGAAAGCAAATCAGTAACTATACCGTGACATTTGCTGGGAAGATCCGGCTCTTTCTCCTCAATCTGTGCCAACTTGGCTTCAGACAGTTTTAATACCCGACAGAACAACTTCCACGAATTAGAAAATTCATTAGAAACATCGAGAAGGTCTTGATCGGATGGTGTGCCAGCCTTAACTGGAGGGGATGGAGGCAAAGCCACATAATCTGTGAAATAAAGAAAACAAACTATTTCACTCGTCAACGTTGGTTGATTATTATCATAGCTAATCCATCTGACTTGCGACACGTTGATCTCGACAGGTTCAGCCGAAAAAATCTTTCTACTTGCCTATTATGTATGAATGGCTTTGAGCCAGGCAGGGTGACATTCTATTCGGTTGCTTCAAATTGTTGATGGAATTACAAGAAGAGAAAGGAAAGTACGCATGGGCATTCTTCCTTCAGCTGTCAGGAGTATCCGAAGTGTTCAGGGTTTTAAGCAGGCTCTAAAGGCTATTTTTATTTCGTTTGGCATAATGCCCTATGATCCAATCCTTGTACAGTGATTGCGGTGTTTAATTTTCATTTTCACTGAGTATACTGTTTGTTATCTGTTAGTGTTTGTCAGCTTTTATCAGCGCCTTAGCATCCGTATATAGTTTTAGCGCCATATAAATAAAACATATTTAGATCTTTATATCTCTTCTGCCTCATGTAGTAAAACGACAACAGCAACAACCAAACAGCAGGAACAAAAACAAATAAACGAAAAATAAAACTAGAGGACTAATTGCTTTTTAATACGTTCACGTCGGTAATGGCGAGCTGGTTAGCCTGTGACACTGTAACCTTTGAAGAAGGATCCTCTTAAACAAACTTAAACTAACCTCGAGTTGTAAGTAAGTTCGAGTTCTCGACTGTTTTTCCTGTTACTCCGCGAGCTAACATTGCAGTTTGTTCAGTGTGAGGTTTAACGTTGTATCTGTTTTACCCGTCTTCTCAGCTGAAGATTCTCGAAAAACAAGTAGCCAGCTCCCTTTTTAAATTTTTGCGAAATATGACTTGTTATACGAGCTGCAATCAGCTTTTAGGTCGGGACATCGGGACATTCTACAGAAACAGCCCTAATCAAACTTACCGATCAGATATTAACAAACATGGACAATGACGATATGACTGGTCTTCTGTTTATACTAGTTTCGCAAAGCTTTTGATGTAATTGATCATGAACTTCTACCAAAAAAAAAATATATATCTATGGGGCCGATCCCTCTTCCGTTGTTTGGTTTAAATCGTACTGGTCTGAGAGAAAGCAGTTTATTCAGTACTCATCATTATCTGATGATCTGGCAGAGATGGAGAGATGGGCTAGAGGTAACAAACCATATACAGGGGCACCCGATGGATCTGTTCCTCATAATATCTGCTCTGCATGCAAATTTTTGCTGGCTGGGACATTTGGGAAAAATGATACGTCCTTGGAAGGAAAGTGTTGCTGGGAAAGAGACAGTGCAGGGTGTCGGAGGGAATTTGTTGTCTGGAGTACCTGCTATGTAGTATTTATTCGCCGTATAATCAGACCCAAACTGGCTTGTAACTTTTGGACATACGCCTGCTGGGAAACTTCCCAATAAGTCAGGTTGCAGAGTGTAGGAGCACCTTGCTCGCTGGGAACTCTTCTATCAGTCCTGCTGGGAGTGAGGAACAGATGATTTTTTCCCAGCAATCTCCCAAAATGCTTAAAATGGCTTCAGAAAGCTTTATTCATGCTTTGTTGTTGTTTTCTGGTCTTTTTCTCAAAATTTCCCGTTGGGTGCCCCTGCATATATAAATACGCAAAAAACGAAAGCTTTGTTGGTTACGGTAAAGTGTATAGGGAGGGGTATTGATAAAGATACGGGAATGCTGGAAGTTGTAATTATAACGGATATATCACAAAAATTGAACAAGTGTCAAGGCATAAACTTCTTGGCTTGACCATAAATGAAGACCTAACTTGTGAAGTACATGTCGATGAACTCTGCAACAAGCTTTTCAAGCGACTCGGCCTTTTACGCCACATCGGCCCACACTTGAAGAAAAAAAAGTTCAGAGAATAATTTTCTTTAAAGCAGTCTTCAAACCACTCATGATGTATACAAGCTCAGTATGGACATCGTGCAATAAAATGCTACTTGAGAGAGTTCTCCGAACAGGCAAAAATGGGCCGCGCGCATTATTCTACATGCCCCTCGCACTAGTCGAACAGTTTTAACAATCTAAGCTGCCTCCCTTTTTAGCTTCTCACGCAGACGTTCTATGGGGTTCGTCAAGCGTTCCTGCCCCACAGGCGTCGTTTGTGTGGCAGGAACGAATTTTCACAAGAAGCAAGTAATATTAGTCATCACAGCCTGAACAGAAGCAAAAAAAATCAAGTTGGACATACAGCGGCTGTAATTTCAAACGGAAATACAGAAAAGTTCGATTTATCGGGAGTTTGAAAGCAAATAAACGTAAATAGGGAAAACACTGTTTTCACTATACAGTTTAAATTAATGCCAAATTTGATTAATCGAGTGAAAATGGAGAATGTTTCGAATGCAAAAAAAAAAAAAAAACAAAACAAAAAAACAGCTTCAAAAACTTTCAAAAATTTCGGATTGCAGTTCACTGCTTGTTTTAATCTCTATCAGACGTTCACATAGTGTAGCAGTGGCGCGAAATAGTGAGCGGAAGAAAAAAAAACGGGTAGTTGCTCTCTCATTTTTATAAGAATGTTGTTTTTCCAGCCCTTGCTGAATATTCGTATTTTTCTGCCGTTTTTAGGCTGAAAATGTTCTTGTATTATTCTTAAACTATAGCTTAAGACATTTCCGTTTAAGAATATATTGTGATATCAATTATAGTTAGTGCAGGATTTTTCGTTTTTTGGTTACTTTTGTCTTTCAGATAAAGGAATAGGTAAAAACACATAATTGTAATGTATTTAGTACAGGCTTTCAGCACACAGAATTATATCCTTTTCAAAATCTCAGACTGGGGTTTATTCTTAAAATGTTCTTAAAATTTCGCAAATTTTAGCCTCGATGTTATTAGAAAATATATTCTTATAAAAAAAGAGCGTAATCCTTCTCAGATTTCTTTGCGTCCTCCCCCTGCACTTAAGCCTGGATTTCAGACATTACTTCGAGTCGCTAACTACCTCAATGAGACGCCACTCCACTCATGTGCCGAACCTAACTGATGAATTAAATACGGAAAAATAGCGGCGTCTGAATCAGTTTGGTACGGCAAAAGTTCGACAGAGTCTGTCGAACTTTTGTCGACCTTTAGTTAGGCTCAACACACGGTGCGCCGTCTGAATCAGATGTCGTGCGAGTGTCGCTCCAAAGTCGAACTTATTCAGTTAGGTTTGACATGAAAAGTACGGCGACTGAACCAGGCCTCAGTAACTGAGGGAATTAGCGACTCGAAGTAATGTCTGAAATTTAGGCTACTTCCCCACTATCTGAACTCTTGAAACAGGCTATGTTTGTTTTGAACTGTCACGCGCGTGGAAACTATGGTTCGAGTTACCTAGGGTAAAATTATATCAAAATTCATCTAAAGGGAAAGAAATAGCTTCAAGTTAGTAAGAAGTTCGAGTTATTGAAGGTAAAATTACGGTAAATGTCTGACAGAAATCCAGGGGAAATCGATTTTAGTTGGAACAAGAGAGGATGCTTGGAGTTAGTGCGAGGTTCCAATTAGCGAGGGTCCGAGTTAGCGGGAGCCAGGCGTAGCTAATCGAACGAAACCGAACCAAAATCAATCGAACCCATTCGAACCCAATCGGTCGGATTGTCGTTCGATTGGTTCGGTATAATCGAGCATAATCGAACTGGAACTTTTCGGTGAGTTCGATTACCGAACTCAATCGAACCAATCGAATTCAATCGACGCGTTAAGTTCGATTTTGTTCGGCAGAAAGACAAAACGCATCCAGTTTCAATTGAATCGGAAGGATCTCCTTCTGGTATGTATAAGCAGTTTGAAAACAGAAATATTTCAATTAACCCGAAATTAACTAAAATCGTTATTGTTAAAGTGATTCAAAATCGATAAATTCACAATTAAGACTGGGAAACATGAACAGCACAGTAATACCATGCAAAACGTCTTTCCTGGGACATCACCGCCGTGTGCGAAATCGAAGCGAATACATAACGTGTTAGAACGCAACGCCTTGTTTGAAACCCGGCCAGATGAAACTGGTTTTATGTTTGATTGTTTAACTGTTCGATTTCCGAACTTTCAATGGTGTTCGATTGGCAAAATTTTGGGGTGAGTTCGATTTGATTCGATTGCCGAACCCAATCGAAGTTAATCGAACGATTGGAGTTCGATTGAGGTCGATTAACTACGCCGGGCGGGAGTCGAAACTCGTTGAGTTTTTTACTACGCAAGAGACCGACACTTACCTTTCGAGGGATTGCTGTGCTTGTCACAGTACTTTGCAGCAAGATCTGCTCGATCCACTTCTTTGAACGCTGCGTACAGACACTGATAAGTGGCCTTGTCTGCCTTGTCTCCAGAAATCTCTAACCATTTCTTTAGCACGCCTGATCATGAAGGGGGATCAAGTAACCTTCATTTTAATACACGAAAAACAGGAGAAAAAATACAACACAAACATACTCGAACCCCAGGCATTCGCTTATGTATGATAACGTCACGTCTAGGCCCCTTTGGCCTCTCCAAATACCAAACTGTGTTTTCTTAAGCGGCGTGTCTCAGCTTTATTCATATTCTTCTCAGTGTACTGCAATACGCGTACACTTGATTCCTAAATTTATGTGAAAGCATACGTTGACTTCAAATTCAATGTCTTTAGACCAAAGGCAAGGTGGTCATGCAGATTATTCATCTTTTAAGCAATCTTGCAATAAACACATCATTCAAACCCCACCGCACATACCATAGCTCTTTTCAATCTGTTTCTGTTCATCTGCCTCAATCTGCTCTAACTGTCGTTCCTCTAGAGGTAGCACTCGTCCAAACCGTTTCCAGCAGGAAACAAGGTCACAAGCAATAAGAGAAAGGTCATCAGGTAAAACTTTACCATGCTTGAGTGATGAAGAATCTGTTAAAAACAGTCCGTTGGCAATGTAAGTTTTTCACGTAGATAAAAACGCCCCTTCGTTAATCCAGGTAAACGTCGGTGGAAGCAGAACTTGGAAAAGTAATGAAAATTTTTACTATGTAGAACAACTTTCCTTTGGGCTGGAGTGTTTCTTCACAAAAATTCAGGGAGGGTAAAATTCCCTTGTAAATGAGATTCTTGGCTATGATAATTAACATAAATGTCTTATAATCAAAAAAGCAACCAAACAAAAAAAAATGTAGACGTCACAAACTAGAAATCAAGACATTACCCAATAAAGCGTCATCGGCCACAGATACGCGGTACCCCAATTTGTCTTCCTCGTTCTAATTTCAATAAAAACAAAAAGGTAAGCCGTAGAAAAAACGCAATTTTAGTCAACTTCTTGTGGAAAACAAAAACTGTTCTTTTTGTAAGTTAGGAGAAATGACATTAGTTTAATACAACAGGATTACCTGAGCTTTGCCAGCTTGAAACCATTTCTCCAATCCATTCACCTTAAGTCTTTCCGCACCACTGAAGTCCTTCTCACAAAAAAGCCCTTCTTTGAGATCCACTTTGAGAAGATGAAGACAATCATCATGTGAACAGCTTACTGAATTATGTTCAGTACACGGGTCATCACTCTGCAAGCAATGGTTACAAGCAACCCACAAGTCACACGGAAGGTTCCATAACCAGGACAGCTCAGATCTAAGGGCTTTTAAGGTAGCCTCAAGAAAGGAGCGAACCTCATTGGCCATTTCCGTTGAAGCAGCTGCCAATGACGAACCAGTCTGTTGAGGACTTCTCCTCAACACAATCTTGATGAATCTCTTTCTGCAAATCAGGACGAGCTCGAAAACACTGTGCATTCTAATGAAAAGCCTTGCACCATTATTGTACAGCTGTGGCAACCGCTTACAGTTGTATTTGGAGCACCAACTGATGCATCTCGACAGCAGCTGACAAAAGAGCCCGTGTGGAACAAACCCATCAGGGAAATGGATATATAGTGGACACGGATCACTTTCGGAGGGACTTATCTTGTACAGACCAGATGGAGGTGAATTGAGCTGAGCTGGTACAAAGTAATTTGTCTCTTCCTCACCCATTGATTCCCAGGTGAATTTGCCAATTAAGCCATATAGCTCCATCCAATGAAGAATGTCCTGGTTTGAATGGCCCTCTTGAATGAGATCTTTGAAAACGTGATCTACAAGAGCAGTTTCCAGGATGCCGCTCTTCTCCAGCTTGTCCCAACGGTCGGAAAAGTTAGGATCAACCTATGAAAAAGAGAAAATAAGAAGGAATCATAACAGAGAGAATAATAAGAAGGTCCCAGGGTAAGCCTTCATTGTCTTTTCTTCTACGAGGTTTCAGAGCTTTTTGAGCACTGTAGTATCATTGGACCTGACAGTGCAGTACTGTCAAGTCGGATAAAAAATCGCTCAAACGGGGCAGAAATTTCCTAGTTTTGACGGTATTCATACTGTTTTTTTAATAACGTTTACCCGTTTAAGTTCATTTATTTGATGTAAGTTTTATTTCCCATACAACTCTCACATTTACTTGGGTTACCTGCTCCACAACTATACAGCTTCTTCAAGTACAAGAGGCCGTTTTGTGAACTCAGAATTTCCTGCAAGATGAATTTTGCCCAGAAATCGAATTTCAGTGACGAAAAAAAGGGAAAGCAAATGTTGGCGAAAAATTGAACATGTCAGCAAGTAAACAAGACAGAGAACAATACTACAAAAAAACGACGTTCGCTCGATCAGATTCACTATTTTGACACTCGCAATGAGCGACACAAGAACTCTTTTTCAATCAACCGGTTAGTTGACTGAAGCAAAAAGGCTCTACTTTTCTTCTCAGGTAGGGTAGCATTTTACAGTCAAACCAGGTCAAACGTACCCCACAAGAACCCATTAATGAATTTGTTATTCAAAAGTTGAATCCTTTGCTAGTCGTAGATTTCAGATTGATCTCTGCATTCTTGTATGCGTAATAAGCCGTAAATTCACACGCGAGGCAGTTATGAAATTTCTACCAGCTCCATTTTCCTGAAATTGATGTAAATGTCTTCTAAGAAGCTTAATCCATTCAAAGATTTCCAATCGGACCAAATACAGAGAAGTTCTCGTAAAATATTCACTGCTCATTACGCATGCAGAAATGACGCTTTGAATTTGACACCAGTTACGGGAACGACTAACGAATTCATTTTTCAAATAATCAATTCACTGATAGAATCTTGGGGGGTACGCTTGTCTTGGTTTGACTGTAAGCCTCCAACGATTCCACTTAAACCGTCACGTTACACTTTGCGAAAGGATGATTCTATGATTTGCCATAATTGGAAATTCTGTAAGGATATTACTTTTGGGCATGTACTGTTTACCGATCTTTACCACTACATGCGCATTTTTCACGCACTAATTAAACTATCAATCAATTGTTTTCCCAGTAGTTTCCTCTATGATTCTGTTAAGATCACTTGGTGTGTGTTCAATAAAACAATGTATTATAATTATCAGTCTCGGTGAATGGGGATCTGAGCGCTTCTCGGCTCAGAAAATATATTCAGCCATCAGTCATCTGAATTTCAAAAAATAATTATTAAAATATAGGAATGACTCATCTGGCACGGAGATATAAACACAAAATTATTTAGGTGCTTCTTGGTGTTGCGAAAAACATTGATTTAATAGCTTTTGTGTTGTGGTTCCGCAACACCGAAAAACTAGCTCCATGATACAACAATATGACTTACTTACCACCTCTTTGAAAGGCGGAACAGTTATCAGCTGTTTAAAAAGGTTAATAAGCCACTGAGCCTGTAACACTACAGTATGGCCATGTTTGACTATCACGCCAAGATCATGGTAGAAATTCAACATGGTTCTCAACTCCCTCTCATCCTCAATGTGGCAAACCCGTTTGATGACAGTTGACAGCTCGTCCAGTTTCATCCAGGTCTTTCCTTCTTCAACCAATGCTTCGACAACTTTTTCAAAATGGAACCACCTAAGAGACAAA